TGGAAATGTAAACATTTATGGGGTAAGTTGTAAAACCTATAGGAACCAACACACTTCTGAGTGCAAACTCAAGAAAGAAACCACAAAATTTCTTCAAAGTTGAATTGCTACCAGCTGGTCAATCATGCAACCATTAAAAAAGAGAAGGAATACAGTTAAAAAAATTCCTAAACTCTAGGATTCACATGTCATTATTCATTTCGAGTCCAAGGACTTGGGGTTGTTGATCTCTGTTAAAATGAGGAATAAAGACATCTAATAAATACACAGTCAACTTAAAGCAAGCAAGAGGAGGGGGACTTTGTCATACTAATTATTAGAATGTTTAAGGGGTTCTGATGTAGAATTTTGCCATCATGCCCTCTTATATCTCATGTAGATACCGTAAATGATGTGGAATACATAGGAAGAAAACAATAAATCAAACAGAAGCCAGTGACCAATGGAAGATTATCAAAAATGAAGACCACAGATTACAAATTGTTAAGCTTTTCTTGTATTTGTATACCCCTTAACATTCTGCATAATTTTTGTTATTCATATTTATTTGATCTTCATACAGCAAGTTAAGCAGGTTGCAGTGCGGAAAATAAGTATTTTGCAGAACAAAATCTTCAAAAAAAAAGGAAGAGGCTGTGTAAATAAGAACATCTGGAGTAGTGGCTAAATCAGTCTAACTGTCAGAATCAATCTGATCTCAGAGTTGAAGCACGCCAGCCTCATCATCCTATCATATGTATTTCATAGTATGATGCTTGAATTGACCTTTTGAAATGGAAATGCAATGATGGAGAAAACAAAAAATAAACACTGCTTATTTTGCATTAGAGTAAACAATGAAGTTCATCTACTGTAGATATATTTATTTATTTTGTTATTTTTTAAGCAAAGGTGTTGGTGGTCTTTTCAACTTAGAAGTTCAACTTTCCTACAAGTCAAGAAACCCAAAAATATTCTGTTTGATTAAAATAACATATTGCAAACCTGTACAGATTTTAAGATTTAGGCTTATTTCAACAAACTAGAAAAATCTATGCTCCTCTTTTAAATGATAAGTGAAACCAAGAATGAGGTTCCACTCACCCATAAAAGAAAAACAAATTTAATCACACCTCAAAAGGAGGTTCCAATTTTGAGCACCAAACCCGCCATCAAGCTAGAACATTAAATTTTACTGCTAACAGTAAACTGTCAGTTTTTCGCCAGCACTTACAAATCATTCTTAACAGAATTACAGATGTAAGTGTCTCATAAATCTTTTTACCGTCTTGAAACAAGAGTGTAATGATATTTTATGAGTTTTATCTTTTTCTAAGATATTTATTCAAACTTTTATAACACATCTAAAAAAAAGGTGAGGAATTTGTGTTTGCAAGAATCAAACCAAAACTATTCCATTTTGACATTAATGAAATGACCATTGCAGTACAGTACAAAGAATTTCAAATGTCCAACAAATACCTGTAGTCCTTTAAAGGAACCATTTATTTTCAAAGATCTAAAGTGGTCTTGATATAATAGTTCTTTGTGTGTGTTTTTTTTTGTTTTGTTTTATTTTTTTTCCTTAAAGATTTTGTAAGTTATTCTCAGGACTTTATCTGCTTTTCAAAAATCATTTGTGAATTTCTGAATTTTAAAAGTAGTCTTTTGTTGATTTTTTTTTTAGTTTGCTGTTCTGTGATTATGTGTTTTACTTTGGTCAGTGCAAGGAAAATAATTACATTTTACTTTTTTCATCGGGTAAATATCTAAAAAGTGTGGTGTCTATGTAATCTTACTATGTTACTTGAAATAAAAACTGTGCCTCTTTAAGATATAATCTATTCAGTAAATAGATCTTATTGAGTATTCAATCTGATTATCTATTAAACAAGTCTGAAAAGTACTCAGGAATAAAAAAAGAATATTGCATATTTGACACCAGACAGCACAGCACACTCAGAAATTAAATTGTGGAGAAGTGTAAAGCACAAAACATGGTTTTGATATTGGGTGGGTAAAATAAGTATCACACCTATCACTGTTTTCATACTAAACATATAAAAGTAGTACATAAAGGTGTTTTGACAATAAATTTTAACCAGGCTTTGCTAATAACCCAAGTGATCCATACATAGAAATAAACCAAAACAAATAAGATCTGAACTTACAGTAAGTTATGAGTAATTATGCAAAATTACACAGGAACAAAGGTATTGCTTATACTGTAGGTAGTTTTTGATACTCATCTTTTAAATCATACTCATTTAAAAAACCTTTTTTAGTAATAGCAGCTTCAAGATGCTTCATCCATGGATAAACACATCAGCCTGGTTCTGAAGTCCTTACACTGGCTTCCTGTAGCTCAGAGAATAGACTTTAAAATCCCTCTAGTCTATAAATCACTGAATGGATCAGCACTTCAATACATAACAGATTTGTTGTCAGTGTATCAACCTCCCAGAGCACTCAGGTCTTTTAGTTCCAGCCTACTCTTTGCACCCAGAACTAAAACCAAATATGGAGAAGCAACATTTAGTTCTTATGCTCCACTTACCTGAAAAAAAAACCTCCCAGAAGACTGTAAAAGTGCTGAAAGCCTGGGTTATGTTAAGTCAAAGTAAAAAAAACCCGTTTGTATAGAACTGCCTTTGACTGTTGAAATTAAACTGCTAACTGACTGCTAATTATTAGTTTAAGGTTGTGGTGCAATTGTTTTATTTATTTTACAAATGTTTTCACTTTTATTCTGCTTTTAGTTTCCTTATTTTTTATAGTTTATTTCAATTAAAGCACTTTAAATTGGTCATATACTGAATTGTGCTATAAAAATAAACTTGTCTTGCCTTGCCTTACATTAACAACTCTGACTTTATTCGGAACTACGTCATATTGAGAGTTCTTCTACCTGCAAAGTCTGACCTTTGCATCTCCTCCTTAATGTCCTTCCTAGAAGATGGTCTGAAAATACGACGTCAACTGCATATATACAGTATATAGATTTTAATAATAATAATAATAACTTTGATTTATATAGCGCCTTTCAGGACACCCAAGGTCGCTTTACAAGAGGTGAAGTAAGGGGGTTAGGGACAGGGAGGGGGTTAGGAAGGGTAGGCAAGAGAGAAAAGGTGTGTTTTAAGGTGCTTTTGGAACTGTGTCAGGGAAGTTGCGGAACGGATAGGAGGAGGGAGGGCATTCCAAAGAGCCGGAGCCACTGCATAGAAAGCCCTGTCGCCAAAGGTCTTGAGTCTGGTACGGGGGATGGAAAGTAAGTTCTTGCTGGTGGAGCGCAGGGATAATAAACCTCTGCATTTTAGTATTGTGTCCATGACTGTAGCATGCACCAGAGTCCAAATGATGGTCTTATCACATGTGCAGTTCTTGACAGAGGCCATAATCTAATTAAAATAAGCTCACAAGCAGGCTTATTTGGTGCTTATTTTGTGCTATTCGTAAAGTGTACCTGGCACTAAAGCAGTTTTTATGTTTTTTTTTTTTTCTGGTATTTCCAAGCCACTTAAGATCCCACCAAAACCATGCCAAAAAGTATGTCCTACAGTATGTGTCCTCCAGCCTTCCCTAATGTGATTGATGCCATATACTGCACACACATCCCCATCAAAGCTCCACCAGGCCCAAATGAAGGGGATTTTGTGAACCAACGGGGGTTTACAGTCTAAATTAATGACTCAAATTCGGCATAAGCTTCCATTAACAGCTCTTGTTCTGCTTGGGAAACAAACTGAGCGCGTTCTTTGGCCATGCTGAGCAGTGTATAAAAGCGTAGCTGATCATTGTTTCTACTATCGATAGATATCCCCTTTAAAACCGACACTTGAACCTGCAATTATCTCAGATAACTCAATCCAACCATACTAATCATAAACAACAGGTGTTTTTGTAGAACCAAATTAGCCGGATCATGATTAGCATGATGATATCATCTTGGATGTCTCATTCCATCACAGTTATTATCCCCTAGATTTGCAACCAGCAGCGCTAGAGATGAAAGTCTCTCTATCACCTACTTTATCTATCAAATCTGTAACTATTGTGCTATTATCTATCCTCCATATTTTTTATGTGTGCCCCTGTGAAGAAAACATTGGCCCCAAACTAGTCCCTCTGGTACATTTGGTCTAGAACCACCATCACCTTAAAACATTTGGAGACACTACACACAAAGTTAGTAGGAAGAAGTATTGATTTATTGAGCTGAATAAAATTGTATGCCAGACTTGTACCTGTTAAAAAATATCCAAACGAGGAAGTTTTGTCTTGCATTTTATTATGTGAGTATGTGTGTCAATCTATAACACATATACTAAAATGCATTAAAGTTTCTTTTTAGACTTAAAAGTATAAAAATGTATAAGCGTTACTGTAAAGCAGGCTGTATTGTTTTAAATAAAAGTTGAATACACCAGACATGTAAAAGTTTTCTAATCCTTTGCCTTCAGTAAGCAGCTTTACTTTGGATGCTTTTGAGGGTAAATATACAGTAAGACAAACAAAATAACTGTTGGTTTCTGAAAGAGGTAAATATGCTACAGTCTACCACACCCTTCAACAGGCATCTTAAGCGGGACATTTGGAGATCTTTTTCGATCTCGTAAGCGTTTGTTATTCCCCCGTTCTGCATATGCTTTCAACAATGTTTACCTTTTTAGTCAGTGCATTCAATCAGCGACATTGTATGGGAAAACATAGTGGCAGCCATCTTAGGTGTACCACCGCAGACTGACATGAGGATCTCCAGTAAAAGACCAGTCATTCATTCTTCTGCTCTCTCTGCGCCTCTCCATCGATCAGGACCATGGACAGCTACCCGCTCGCCTCAGTCTTTGAAGGGAGAAGCCATCTCCCGCTTTCAAAGAGAAAAGGCAGCTCCGGTTCCCTCATCTGTAGCTACACTAAACTCCCCTCCTCTGCTGCCCCTCCCCTCCGCTTCCTTCTCACCTCCCCCTCTCACATCCGCAGCACCGATCGACCAATAAAACGGGGCAAACGCGAAAGCATCGAGCGCACGGCGCAGGCGGAGAAAGCTCAGTGTGGAGCAGACTGAACCTCCTCCAGCACCACTGGTACTGCTGAAATCTCTCAGCGAGCAAGTACGATTAAGGCCTATCCCTGTCTCCACTTCGGACGAATTCTACTTTAAATCTGTGCAAGGGATAATAAGGAATTTTATTCCTCGGGGTCACTGTCTGCAGTTTGTAGCAGAGACGAATCCCTTCTAGAGCAAGATGTTAGATCCGTCGTCCAGCGAAGAGGAGTCTGATGGGATAGTGGAGGAAGAAAGCAAAGAGATGGCACCTCAGGCCGGGTCCCGCATCTCTCCCAGCAGGACCAGCGAGAGCTCTGGTGGACTGGCGCCCAGTAGCAGCCGCAGCAGCGCCCGTCCAACCAGTCCGAGCCCGTCCGCAGCCAGCGAGGAGAAAGAGGACCTGGAGAAGCTGCACAGAGAGGAGGAAGAGCGCAAAAAGAAACTGCAGCTGTATGTTTTTGTCATGCGATGCATCGCATATCCCTTCAATGCAAAGCAACCGACTGATATGGCAAGACGACAGCAGAAGGTAAGGCCCCTTTTGAAATGAAGGCAGAAATAACTATGATGATGAATTGACTTCTTTCAGTTCGTGGATGACCTAGATAAGCTGGAACACAGAGGGGGAGCTACGGCCACAAGGCCCATCGGATAGTGCATGAATGCATCACTGTCCCACTAAAAGGCACACTTTGTTTTTTTGACTAAAAAACGTAGAAATTCCCGGGGCATGACAGGAACATAGAGGCAAAACCTTGGATAATGAAGGGACTGGTGGTGCTGCAGAGCTGCACTCTCTCTAAACGTCGTGTTCCTTCAGCTCTGCAAGCTCATTAATCGAAAGGGCGTTCAGTGGGAGCTGGATGACGATTTAAAGCAGGACTATGTCATTGTCCCACTTGGCCTGTATCTCCCCTTACATATGCGGCCAATAGGGGCAATGTGTCCTGCCCTGTTGAGAGTTATTTGTGGCATCACTTTTCCCTTTAATTTGGCCTCTCAAGGTGACTTTTAGAAACACGCCTTCTTGAGAAGCCACATTAATAGCTTCCCTGTTTTATGAATTGCTAATAATTCTCCAGGGCCATCGGTAATTTATTTCCATGAAAAACATGCTCCCTTCACAAATTTCATTTTGTAACTGTTATTCTCACACAAAAAAAATTGCAAAAAGGGAACAAAGCCATCGTCCTGGTTTTACACTCCTGCTGAGTTCCTCCATTGATGTTGCTGCCAGTTTTGGCTCATGTTGTCCTTACTGTCAAAGTCACAGGCCTTACTGTAGGGGTGGAGACTTCCATACATTATTACAGCTCTCATTTGTACATCAAAACATTTTTTCAGCATTTAATATAAATTTGTACTTGATAAGGATTGCCATAGTTGATTTCACAAAAGTTGGTGTCATTATCTAAAGGACTCAGCAAAAAGATGTATTCTAGTAATCCAAGTCTGTCTATGTATATTGTCTTTAAGACTATAAATGCAATTGAGACTTTGTGTATTTTCTTAAAAGGCAGACTTTTCTTTCTCCAGACACTGTTGAGCCATATGGTCTGGATTTTCTGCTGACTCACACATAATTGCACGTGGGAAGCAGAAACCACCACGTTCCTATGTATTGGTCTGTTTGTGGTCCTGCTCAGCATGTAGGTTACTTGGTATGCACTCTGATGTCCAAGGAAAAATCCTCTGCTGTGGGCGAGCAACTATAATCTGATGCTCCATACTGGATCAGTGAATCAAAGGGCTGCATCTATCTGCTTCTCACCTCTAAACAGTTGTACAAAATCATTGCTTAGAGAAAAATTATTAGGAACCTTGTACAGTATTGGATACAGAACACATTTTGAATCAAGGAAAATTGGCTTTTTCTATGAGGTTAATTGAAAATATTTATTTCACAGAAGTCTTTGTTTAAAACACCACAGTAGCTTTATCTATTGTATTTAAAAGTAACATACACGACTTACTATTTAATGTTTTGCACTTTGTATTATTATGAGAGGGCCAGTGGGATGATGATTATCAGTGAAAGCAAATGTTTTCACCAGGAAAAAACTATTTATCTAATAAGAAACCAGTGCATAGCGTATAATATCTTTAGCAAAGGAAAGGTTGAATATAAATTTAAACAGCTTCTTAAATAGTATAACATTGATAATTGCAGGTATAATAATGTAATCTACAGCAATACTTATTGTTGTTTTGATACACAAGCAATAGAAGAATATAAACATCTTTAGTCATAGTTTTGAAGTATATGGTTTATTAAAATTAATTATTCTCGAGTCATTTTAGTTAACTGATATACCGTAGGGCAATTTTTAAGCAAATGTTATCTAAACACACGTAACAAATCAGATTAAAAAAAGATAGGTAGCATTACAAGCCTAGTTATTAAACAATCCAGTGAAATCTAGTTTTTAATGCAAATAGGTTAAAAGCAATCTTTATAAAGAAGACCAGCATATTACATGAAGTACTTGATTTACAGACATGCTGCTCCTAGTTGCCAACTGTAGTTTTGAAACTGTTACCTAAATGAGAGTGAAGCGTGGAGCCCTTTCAGTTTTCACTACGTCACAGTTTTTGATTCCATGCCAAGATATATTTTCTTTCAACTAAAACTGTCTCTTGGTTGGAGCTGACTTTCTGAGTCAGCTGACTGACAGTTTGCACTACATGTGATAAGAGGCATTGCTGTGTTCCTCTATGCTCCATTGAGCTGAAGCATGAAGCTTTTGTTTCTGTGCCTTACCTTTTGTACCTTGATATTTATAATCACCCTCTGCCTGATGATGTTATTTATTTTTTACTCTATTAAAAATAAAATATTATTCATGCACTTCCTCTTGTTAAAAACAAACAAGTTACCCTTGAAACAATGTATGCTTCTAAAATCTAAGTATGTCATAATCCATCATATACATCCCCTGCTTGCATTGGATAGCCAGTCTAATATTTGTCCATTTTAACATTTTGGCTATTAACGATCACTGAGAGAAATTTGATTAAACAATATCTGTAATGAAATGACTTAAAGGGCCTCAGCGAAACATGTGGAGCAGCTCCACAATAATCCCTTATTAGAAGCTCTGGCACATAAAAGGCATCAGTGATGGGCTATCACAGAGAAACAGGACAGGCTGCAAACCAAGCTAGCTCTGCTTCTGCTGCTCCTTAAAATGTATGGCTATAACCTTGTGATAGGATAAGTCATGGACGGAGCTTTTCCCTCTTTTAAAGGGCAGAGTAAACGCTTTTGTTATTTAAAATGAGAGTTGCTATTTCTCAAACGTTGGAGGGGTGCTCATGCATAATTAACTGGTGCCATGCTTGTTTGCACACAAGGTTAATCATCTTTCAACATACTTACACTAATGGCCTCTTCATAGAGAAAAAGAGTAAGTTATTGAGATTATTTGCACATGTATAGATAGTGCAATCATTGTGATTGTGCAGGAGGTTGCAATCTCTCTTCTTCAGTCATAGTAATCTCCCTGAAAAATAAAAGTGCATACAAGGTAAAGTAAAATTAAAAATCCTCATTCCTTTTACAGTTCAACCACAGTTTTATGGGATATTATCCTTTTCGATGTTGCAAATTATAATGTTTTATGCATTCTGTAAATAGATACACCAATCAACCATTTTAAATAATGATAATAATAATAAATATAATAATAACAATTATATATATATATATATATATATATATATATATATATATATATATATATATATATATATATATATATATATATATATAAAGCGAGAGAGAGAGAGGGAAAATATACATAATATCTTTAAAAGAGAAGCCTCTATTTGTTAAAATCGGATCTACACAACCATCCTGTTTATTTTTTTAGATTGTAGCAAATTTCCAGAAGATAACATGACCTAAATATCTTATCTGCCAACAGGTTGAATCAGTGTTATACTGTGATTAATACCCAGGATTTGGGGAATTCCATCTTTCTGTGGCCTTTTTTTTTTATTAATATACCAAGGCCAGGCAACAGCTTTGCAATGCACTCTGCAGTGACTCTGGTGTATTTGCAACAGACCTTTCCATATTTAAAGTTTTCTCACCTTTTTATCACCAGTTGGTCTGCAGAAGCAAAAATCTGGCGTAAGAACAATTACTATGAAAAGCCGCTTATAGATAAATTGTAAATTACTACATTAGCAAAAGCAGATGAGGCTGTTGAGGTTCATACCTTAACAATTCAGATAAAAAAGAGATAAGAACAGATGTATGCACCACCGCTTTACACTAAGGGTTCCTATGTACATTGTATTGCATTTGCACCTTTTAATTTTTTTGACTCTTTGCCATGTTATAACAACCAAGTTTTGCATTCATCCCTATAAATTCAATACATCCAAATAAAATGCAAAAATCAAAAATCATCTAATTGCTGTTGTGCTACCCATCATGCAGAAGAGAAACAATATCATACAGCTGCAAACCTACCAAGACATGACTATCTGCCTAAACTAACAGCCTGCTAAGAAACTATAGACAAGCTGCAAAGATTTATGTTTCATCAGGGGAAGAAATTCATTGTTAAAAGAAAGATATAAGAAGTACTCTTTGTAGCATATACACTTTGAAAACGCCATCTTCATCCTCCCACAAAGAGTTGGTAGTATTATGCCCTGGGGATGTATCTCTTCAGCAGGGATAGAGAAGTTGTTTGTGTTGATTGCAAAATTCAGGGCAATCCTGGTAAGAGACTCTTCTAGATATATTTTCGGCTGGGGATGAGGTTCACCTCCCAGCAGGACTAAAGCCCTACACATAAACATTTAAACTGATTTCAAAAGATATTGTAGGAACATGGTCCACTTTCTAGATCTTCTTCTATGAATTTTTACAAAGCATCATTTTATCTCACCACTGTTATGCAATTATTTGTGCCTGTGTGTTACAGACTATAACACTGGCATTCACTGCATTGTGAAAAAAAACTAGAAAAAAAGGCTTGTTAAAGGCTGTCTGCATTTTGAAGTACTTAGTTAATTTTGTTGATTGATACAATCTTGGTGTTTTATTGGCATGGTGTAAATGATGAAAAATTAAAGGTTTTCCATGATGTCATAGATATGGGTTTCGATTCAAAAATGGTGACAGCAGAAAAGCAGCAGGTGAAGTAGCACCTCACCAGCCAGGTTTACCGCCTCCTGAAACATATCACAGCTTCACAAATTACACAACCCTATCTCTCTCTCTCTCAGGAAACAGTTAAAATCTGGAAGCTGCAATATCAAATTCAAATTTATTTTTAAAGACAGATAAATATGAAATCAAATTAATTTGTGCTTCCCTTATTAAAAGCATTTTACTGTAGCTTGATTCTATCTTGCTGAGAGAGTGGTCACACAAATAGCTTCTAAAATGGTGACAATACAGTGAGCCTGGGCCTGAGCCTTAGTGAATTTGTGGGAATTTATAGTTTGCAACATGCAACAAATATTTCCACAGATAAAACCAACGATAATGAGTTTTCTGTATTGGAAGTG